GGGCTTTGCTCATTACTGTGTGTGTAGGGGGGGGAATTTTGCTTGAATTGATTTGCCGTCAGTGAGAACTGAAAACTCCGTTCCCACAGGCCCCTTTCAAAATTTAGACCGTGATAAACTAATATAAATGGTAGGACCTAAGCTCAAAGCAGAGATGGAAAATGTGATTTAAGGAGGAAATGGCCATCAGTTTTATCTGAAAGAAACGCTCAGCCAAAAATTATTTTATCCAAAATTACACTATAATTCAAAAATTCTGACAAGCCAGGCACTCCTTGAATCCCACTGTGACTATGTCAGGTATTATTTGGTAATGCTAGAATGACTTCAATGCAAAACTATAAAAAGGTAACGTTCAGAACCAGATTGCATCGCACATTAGATCCCACAGCTTTGCTCTCTGTGCTTTTTGCCCAGCCAATCTTTTGCTTCATTGGAATAAGTTTGGGCTCGACTTCTCTGCGTGGTGGCTCGTTTATAAGAGATTATAGTGACTCTGTTCAAGTTGGATTTCTTTTTTCCCCCTATATAGATTTGCTTGTGAAGTCATGTTGATGACTTGTGCTGGCAGGGGCCATACGCTTGCCAAACTCCACCCTCCTCTGGGCACAGTTCTCTAGCTCTGAACCACGGTCACAGGGGCAAATGAAGGATTCACTGGTGGTTATGCTGAACATGTCCGGAATATTTGGTTAGATCAATAAAGCATGGCCATGCGTTTACGAATGCAGGGCATCGTTTCAGCCGTTCCCACTGAAATCAGTACAAGGTGTGTTCAGTGCAGAGTTCCTGGCAGCCAAGCTGGACTGACACCGAGAAAGATTTTGGTGATTTGCAGACGGAGGTTTTCACATGCGCTGGTCTCTGCTGATGTCTTCACTGTTCTTGTTGTGATGAATGTTCTTTTCAGCATTTCCAGGAGAAAGTGGAATCTCTGGAACAAGAAGCAGCAAATGAAAGACAACAGCTGGTAGAGACTCATATGGCACGGGTGGAAGCCATGTTGAACGATCGTCGCCGCATCGCTCTGGAGAACTATATCACAGCCCTGCAGACTGTCCCACCCAGGGTAAGTGCAATACCACAAGGTCTGTCCGCTGTGCCAAAATCACTGTAGTCATCTTGGGGAAAAAGAAGGTGTGCTCGGGTACAGTCCAGCTATGGAGCAGTGAGTGTGTGTTCCCCATGCAAGAGCTACTACAGCAGTCAGCTAGTTTGAAAGTTAAAAGTTTAGACTTTGTGTGTACAGAAATGTAGGCACAAGCACACACCCCTGTACATACCTATAGATAGATACATACGTTAAGATACTCAAGCAAATAATGTGGAATTGATTTGGTTGTCAGAAATTGTAACTGTTTCACAGATTCTGCAGAAGGATGATGAAGCATCCGTCCAAGTGATGCACAGTAGGATGCTTCATCATGTCAAGATGGAGCTTAAGGATGAGAGTGGTTATGATTTTCTGTTTTGTTTGTTGAACTGTTGAAATGTTCGGTGAAGGATCTTGTGAGGATTGTTGGATGGTGTGAAGATAGCACACTAGCAATGCAAAGTTGTCTATGTTGGATGTGATGGCTATTGGTGGGTGTAAACACTAAGTTCAGAATGTGTATTGAATGGAATTTTTAATGACTCTGTATCTGTTATTCAATACCAAAATAACTGATCCGTGACCTCCAGAAGAAGATAATCTGCACAAATGTTGTGGGAAAACAGTCAAATGTTCTGTATGCTTCTAGCCTCTTGAATGCTTCCTAGATGCAAAAAACATTATGTTACTAAAAGACTTTTGGATCAGCAATGTAAGGTGTAGCCATTACATCCTGAATTTGGCCTCATAGGGAATTACACCAATACGGCTAACATAGTAAAATTACATGTTTTAAGTGAATTACCTTCTGCAGAGAAGCCTGCATTATTCAGTGAGCACAGAAGAGGGATCATCATCTTAATTCTTTATCATCATCAAACTTTTTCCTCCACTCCATGGTGCAAAACCCTTGTTTTTACTGTGCACCAAGTAAAAGTAAAATCTTTTACTTAGGTAAAAGTGTCATGGGGAGACTTTACAGTAGTTGTATGAAGAGTTAATCCGAATTTTGCAACATAGTAATTTGTGGAAAGTGAAGCTAGTCTGTATTAAATTGGTAGAGGATGTTGTTTGGTCTGAGTGTGAGATGCATGTTGTAACCTCTGTTGTGATGGTAGTGAAGGGCTTGGACTCGAGTGTCTCATTAGCAGACAGATTAGCAAATTACAGGCTGAGATGCAGCTTCCTTTAGGAAACTGGAGTCTGCGGCTCAGAACTGGGAGTGAAATGACGTGAGTGCATGGACTGGCTGCACGTTGTGTTTGCTCACTTGCCAGGTGGTTTTGAGTAGTTCACCTAAGATACGATTTCACGTTTAGCTTTAGCCAGTCAGTTGTTTGCTGTAAAGCTGAGCCTCACGCAAATGTAATCCTGTCTGCAAAGTGTCCCAGAAAAATGATTTCAAGTTGTGTGCGGATCAGGCTGACAGCTTAGTTCTGAAGGTATCTGAGGTTGTGGAAGGTGAAGAGTGGGACCACACATAACAGCAGAATGGTCTCTAGAGCTGCCAAAATGTGCAAATTCATTCCTAGCACAAGGGAACTCGACCTTTCATGTTTGTGGAATGCAGATGACATCTCCACTGGAAAAAAAAAAAAAAGGCAACTTCAGCTGCAAAACCCTAAGGGGCAAAAACATTAACAGTGACTTTGGACCAGAAAAACCTGCATTTTATGCTTAAGTTGCTTATAGTGGGCTCCCAGGACATTTAAATAAATAATACATTTACTGTGTCAGTGGGAGAGTATCAGTCCTGAAAGGCCGTGTCAAAGAACACTGTTTGGTACATGACTCCAGTAGAAGTAAGTTTTGAAGATACTTTTAAGAGACCGAAGTATGTTCTATATTGTGTCCCTGCAAAAGCTAATCATTCTGAAAGGAGCAGGCAGCGAGTGTGGAGGTGACATCATCTGAAGGTGCTACCAGATGAGGACTCTTCTTGTTTAAAGAGTAATGTCTTTAAACAGTTCCTTATTGCCAGTCTTGTTGATGGTACTGTCCTTGCCTCACCATTTTTTGGTTGTATGCTCTGTAGTTACTGACAGTTCAGGCATGTACCTCTGAACTGCTGGTCAGATGTATGCCAAAACGCGTGAAAAATCTCACCTTGAATTCGGCGGGAGGATTTGTCTGGTTTTATTGTGGGGCAGAGGGTGAAACCTGAGGAGTGATTGATGATGGCTGAATGGCCTAATGAATTAATTCAGTCCACTAACTGCTCTGCAGATTATGGAGCCAGAAATCTGAATACACTGTTCATCCAAACAACGGCTGCCTAGCCAAAGAGAAAATGGGATTAATGGAAAATTCAGGTTTGATACCCTAGCTATATTCCTGTTTGATGGTTCCCTAGTAAACTAAAAGTACATTTGATGCAGTTGTGTTGTCTTTGGGAGAGTAAGTCATAACCTTACTGGTGACTTGTTAGGTAATCGTACAAAAGGTTTTTCTGGAGTTCTCCAAAAATGTTTTTAAGAACCCCCTTCCACAGCCTGCTTCAAATTACGTGGTTTGCTATTAGCATGTTTACTACAAAAGTAGATTCTGAATATTTAAAGTGATGGCATCTCTTTCTCTGAAGTTAGAAGGACAGAATTTGGATTTAAATTGAAAAATTAAGTTAGGCTTTTTTATTGAAGTGCATGTCTTCTGCACACAGCTTGAAGGGTTACTGTAAGTCTGGTGTGTTTATATAATGTGGATAAATGTGTGAGTGTGTGCAAAAAGTGTTTTCCATGTGCTGTTTAATCACTTGGATGTATTGCCTTGTACTTGAATTTGAACATTTCCCAAGATTTTTTGGATTTCTGGCAGACCACTTGAAGCAGCAGGATTTCATTTTCGTTTTGGATGTCTAGAAATCCATGACCAGTCCTTGCCTACAGATCAGTTATCATAGGAGCACAGCCAGTCTGGCACTCCTGGTGCCATCAGACTGATCATGGCTGTGGTGCCTGATTCTCTGTGACTGATGAAATCCCTGTCCACTGGGAACTCCTGTTTTCTGTATGTAGGGAGATAATCAGGGGGGCAAAAGCC